GAGATGCTGAGATCCTACAACTAACAAACTGGGGAGCTGGGTATTGAATCACAGTCTGCCGGACTCCAGAGGCCCACTTCGAACTTTTCAGCTAAATTGCTGATGCAATTACGATCTGAATCTCAGTTCACATGAAAAAATAAATTGATGTTGAGTGCCCAGAAAGTAAAGAAGAATTATTCCTCACCGACACAGAGCTCACTGATTTATGTCTTTGTGGATCACATCTGACACTGTTGTAGAACAAAAACCAATATCAAACTGAACGGAAGACTGTTTGTCCTGAGGATTCTGGATGGCAATTTTATTGTTAACACAGGCGGGCTGGGGGACTGAATCAGAGTCCAAAGCATTGGCCATGAGTCAGCTGAAGAGTTCAGTTTAACTACAGTTTGCACGAAGGATGTATAAGGCTGATGACAAGCTACTACATGATTGCTTACATGAATTAAGTCATATGTTGTCAAGAAAGCTAGTTCTAAATGGATTTACTTAAAAGGAACTGTTTGTCATAAGGTAGGAGCATTCTGGAAAGGAGGAGACGGGTTTGAGTGGAGCAAGAAGGGTTAAACGTGTCCTTGACTGGGCCAGTCTGTCCTGGACATGAGGTCCGTGAAGTATATTTTTCTATGCAGGAAAACACAAGCATTACAGCTGGAGGCAGTGAGGTTGCCCTCGCACGTTATGTGGGAGAAACAGCTGGATGCAGTCAATCAAGGTTGACTGAGCTGAGCAGGCTGATCATGTGACAGGCAGGGCGAGCTAACTGATGTTTAACTTTTGCTATAAAACATTTATAAATTTGCTTTTTTTTTTCTTGTGTCTTTTTGAGGCAGGGTCTCCTGTAGTTCAGGCTGTCCTTGAGTTTACTTTGTAGCCCAGGCTGGTCTTGAACTCGCAAGGATCCTCCTGCCTCAGCCTCCCGAGTGCCAGGATTACAGGTGTGAGCCACCACTCCCAGTTTATAAATTTGCTTTTCTATAACTTTGCCTTTACAACATCACTGAGGTGACACAAAGAGTAATAAGAAATGCCACGGAAACCGCAACATGCAAAACTGTCCCATAACTTGCAAAACAAAGAAACTTTATAAACCACAATGTTCAAAGCAAACTCCCTAACCTCTGATGCATCACACAGCTCATTTCACTGTGTGGGTTCAAGACCACAGACTTGAGCTGGTAACTTTTCACAGATGAGACCGTTGATTATTCCAGCAACTCAGCTAGGCTTACGAATTCTGACTATCACTACCCAGATTTAGCGCATTTTCTCTGGCCCCAAATCCACACTGTGACAAACATTGGTGCCCTAACCACCTGAGAACCCCTCCCTAGTGCCCTGGTTGGAGATGTGCTAAGTTTTCATGGGTGTGTTCCTTTGCCCCAGGGAGCTAGGACACCTGACCTTTGTTTTGATGATAGATACCTTATCGTGATGTTTGATGGGTAGATTTTAATTGCAGGGGGAAGGAAAGATATACCAAACTGAAAAGATGACTTTAAATTGAATGAATGTGTTGGCTTTCCCAAGTAGGTGGGTTAGAACAAGGTATTTATTTTTTGTCAGTACTAGAGTTAGAGCTTCACCATATGACTTTGGGGATACAACAAAGACACAATTTTCCCCATACCAAGGATGATGGGTATTTTGGGCTATTTAAGGTGGATCTGATGGTTTGGATTTGGGGGAACTGGGTGTTCTGCCCTCGTTCCTTGATGATCTCCTGGTCATTTGTGTAAGTGTGGGTTGGGTGTTGATTAAGCCTTCTTTAGCTGGGGAAAAAGAAGAATACCAGGCAAATTATCTGGAAGACTCCCCAGGAGAAGGCCCTGTGAAGTAGATCATTTTGGATTTTCTTCCCATGGTGACACATGCAGTGAGTCACCAGTACCGCACACCCATGGCCAGTTCTCATTACTCACAGGTCAGCTCTAATTGCCCTTTACTTTCTCACTCAGTGAAACACATTCTGTGCAAGCGAAGGAAAGTGACATTTTACAGTGATTTGGAATGTAATTTATATTAAAATAAGTAATTTTAAAACTCAAATACTTTAGCCTTTTGAAGCTCAACACTTTGTTGCCTGGGGCACCACATCCTCTAACCTTAGGAAGTGCCAGTCCCCTTGCTGTAGAATACTTCAGTATGAATTCCACATGCTTTTGGGAGCTGATGTACTCCAAGGTATGTCCAGAGATCTCCAGAGTGGATATTTCTTTAGATCACAACCTATTTTAATTTCCTGCTTCTTTTACATTCCTGTTCTCCACCCTGTGGATTTCCTGGGGATCGAACCCATAGCCTGGCAGCGTGTATTAAACTACAACTCAGCCCTTCCTTGGAGTTTTTATAGTCATGGGAGAAGATCTTGGCCCACGCACCATGAGCAATAGTTTTGATTATTGTATTAGATACCATTATCCCCCAAATTAGTTACTCTCCTCTGGAGAATTCCAACTTCTTTAAGTCTTTGTCTCCCACTGCTTTGCCAAAGTTTCTACCCTCTCTCTAGCCCTCTTATCCCCCTAACTGCCAAAAATGCTGTAAACGTCCTCAGATTTATGCATAAATATGTTTAATACTTCAAGGAGTCTTCTCTGCTGACAGCCTCAACTCCTGTCACAGCTCACTATAGACAAGTCGTCTATTTTCATTTCCTCTTTCCATTCCCTTACAAAATCTGTCTCTTCAGTCTTGTTCCTGGTCCAGACTGTCCTGTTTACATCACCTGTGACTGCCATCCTGAGAAGAGACCTATTCTGTCTTTGTTACTCCTTGCTTCTGAGCTGTACAAAGCTCAAGAGATTAATCCTTTTCTGCAAGTCAGCCTTACTACACCTTTGAGCTCTATTATTTCCAGATTCCTTTTCCTTCCATTTTTTTATGGCTTTCAGTTCTCCTGAACAGATGTCTTTCGCAGCTGTTTCATTTCAGACTGTTCTGTCTTTGACTCCAGAACCACATCTCTCACTGCCTTTTCTTGACCTTTCCATCTGGATATCCCCAAGGTACTTTAAACCCAATTTATGGACCAAACCCAGAATCCTCCCTTATCCCACTCTCTAGACCTGTAGGGTATTTCCCATCTTAGTGAAAACTTTGTGCATGTTTTTAATCTAAGTCAGGAAGTTAGAACAATTCATGACTTCTTAGCTCCTTGTTTGCAACCCACTTTTGAATCATCTGTGGACTTTCTCACCAGAACCTGCCGAAGGCTCATGACCACCCTGGTCCATGCCGCATGGTGTGTTCCCTGCCTTTTAACTGGTCATCTGTGTTCCAGTATCCATTTTTTTATTCCATCCGGTCAACTCTATAAACTTGGCCTTTGGGATCTCCTTTGGGAGATTTCTCTTTTTCAGAGAAACAAGAAAATTTCTTTTAAAAAGCTCTGCCTATTCCACCATTCCTGTTCCATATCACTCTGCCTCCTCCCTGAGTACCACTGGCCCTGGGTCACTCCTACTGTGTGTCAGGCCCTGTTGGCTTATAAAGGTAAATGAATGTGCTCAGTTATCTTGAAATAACTTCCATTTTTCAAAGGGAAAAAGAAGCACAAGGATTAATATAAAGGAATTTTAAAGAGTTAAAATGCTCTTCTCATCTTGGAAACTACATTGCACTTAGGATTTCTGATTTCGGTGACAATTGTGCATTTCATGTATTAGGAAGTTTCAAAACTATCCTTTTGAGAAAAAATACTTGCTTTCTGTAAAGCTGCATAGTTACCCAGTGACATTTAAATAATTTATCGAATAAATATTCCAATAAAATATATTCAAGCATCTCTGAAATAGTATAGGAAGAAGTTGGAGTACTTGTTCACTGTATGTTATTTAATAAGTACACAAGAAAAAAGGGTTTGTTCTTACCATCAGTTCCTGCATTGGCCACTAGAGGACACTTGTCACATGATAAAAAGTAGAACTGATATAGCACCTGATTGTCATCTGTGGTATTAATTCTGAAATCAGAGCTGGCCATTTTTTATATTGTAATACAAGTGCTGATATTGCGTCTGAGATAGGGAGCCTTGTTTTACTAGTCTGGATTTTCTAGTGAAGTAGAAATACGAATTTTGCAACCTGGATGAAAGGAGAGTCAGGGAATCACGGAAATATTCTTCCTCAAGTACTGCAGGGAAAGCACAGAGGTTGACTTGTGGAAACACATATGTGATAGTCGTTGGGATGAAGGGAGGGAAGGGAGTGAGCAGGGCTTTGAAGGGTAGAGAGGGAAAGGGGCAGTGGGCTCTTGTATAAAGGGAATGTTTTTTGATGTGTAATTTCTGTATCCATCTTTCCTCTGTTTCTCAGACTTATGCGTCGTAGTGGGTTGTGTGGTGCTCCCTGTGTTAGCTTTCTAGAAGTATCCAAGATAATTAACTTATAACAGGAAATGTTCCTTAGCTAATGGTTCTGGAGATTTCAGAGGGTGGGCCCTCTGGCAGCTGGGTAGCAATGGCCGGGAACTTTACCTGGTGACCAGACACAGAAGGGAAAGAGGAAGAAGAAGTGACAAACCCCAGCATCCTCTCTGGGAGGACAACCCCAGTGACCCGAGGCTTCCATGAGGCCTTGCCCCCTGAAATTGCTGCCACCTCCACCTCCCTAGGACACCGTCCTGCAAAGCAAAGCTTCAACACGTGGACTTGGGAGATATTTAACATCCAAACTACAGCACCCTCAAAGCCAGATCCTCAGAACTTGTCAGTGTGAGAGGAAGGGCTATGTTAGTAGGCATAATAATTTGAAATCAATTTTTTCTTTTTTCTTTGATCAACACATAATTATACATATTTATGGGGTGCAGTGTGATCATTCAGTGCATGCATGCAGTATGTAGTGAGCAAATCAAGGTAATTAGCATTTCCATCTCCTTAACGGTTTCCATTCCTTAGTGTTTGGCATCTTGAAACGCCTCTAGTTCTTGGTAAAATACACATTACATTGTTGTGAAATTAAGGATCTCAAGATGAGGTTGTTCCGAATTACCAGGGGCACCCTGAATCCGATGACCAGTGGAGGCAGAGGAGAGGATGATGCACGGAGATGTGAGATGGAGGCAGATTGGGACGATGGAAGGTGGATAGTTCAAAACCACCAGAAGCAGAAGAGGTAAGGGGTATCCTGGAGGGGGCAATGCCCTGTCAGCCTTCCTATCAGACTTCTGATTCCCAGAGCTTCGAGGAAACACATTTCCACCTTGATAAGCAAGTTTCTGGACCTGCCTTATGACAGCCCTAAGGAAGGAGTACGAGCTTGGTGGACTGGAGCTCCCCTGGGAGGCTGTTGACACATGGATCGCTGGATCTGACTCGGGCCTTCTGTCAGAGGCAGGATTCAATTTACAGTTCTTTTAAAAAAATTTTGTCCTTTTCTTTTCTTGTGGTAATGGAGATTGAGACCAGAGTCTTAACCACACCCTTTTAAAATTTTTTTATCATGATACAGGTCTTACTAAATTACCCAGTGTGGCCCTGAACTTGTGGTCCTCCTGTCTCAGCCACTCAGGGGGCTGATATCCCAGGCATTTGCCTCCATCCCTGGCAATGTGCATTTCTAGCACATTCCTAGATGACCATGGTACTGTTGGCCTGAGGACCCACCTCGAGAATCACTATTGCAGACTTTATCAGTCAGGGCTCACTAGAGTGACAGATTTAATATCATGTTATACGATGTATTTCTTACAAAGTAGACTTACAGTAACTATTTGCAGAAGGAGGTGTGGAAGAATGCAAAAGGGCTGTCTGCACACTGGGGAGCGAAACAATCCAGTTGCAAAGGTGGAGAACGTGGAGCTCACTGCAGAGTCCGGTTGGGAACCCGTCTATTTTGGAAGCCACAGAGTCTGCGCTGGAAACCAGGAGATAAAGTCCAAGGTGCAGACTTGAGCTCCTCCGAACAAAGCCTTCCTTCTTCATTCCCCTTTAATCCATTCAGGCTACAAATTTATTGGTTGGTGCCACCCACACCCAGGCTGGGTCTTCTGTCTTCAGTAAATCCCTTCTGTCACACCCTGAGCAACACAAATCCAATCAGTTGGGTGTTTCTTATACAAGTTGAGACAACAGTTAACTACAAAACAGGTCCATGCTTTTCAACTGGAATAAACCGTGATTCTCTGAAAAAGACTTAAGATTTTGATTCTTGACTTGCAGTAGGACCTAAAAATCATATTTTAAAAACTCCCCAGATGATCCCAATTTATAGCTGAAAAAGAACTACTACTTTAGATTTTCCATTTCTTTAAAATCTCTCCAAATTAGCCTATGATATACAAAAGGACATTTCCTTGAGACCATAAGACCATTGTGGTGAGCCTCTCTGGTGTATGTGGCACAAAGGGAGGCTCATTATTGCTGAAGACTATGAGGCTCGCCATCACTGCAATACAGCAATGGCACTGAATCACTCATAACAAGTTCTTACCAATTTGTAAGAAATTAGGAAGAAGCTCAGCGGCATAAGCGCCTGCCTTGCAAGCAGGCAGTCGTGAGTTCGATCCCCGGTACCGATAAAAAGGAAAAAGACAAAAAAAAAAAAAAAAAAAAAAAGAAATTAGGAAGTAGAATATGCTATTCAGCTTCCTGTCACTGTGATCAAGTACCTGAGAAAAGCAATTTTCAGAAAGAAAGGTTTTATTCTGGCTCGTGGTTTCGGGGGGTTCCAGTCTATGATCAGTTGCTTTATTTCATGAGACCTGTGGTCAGGCAGAACTTCATGGCGGAAAAGCAGGGTAGAGGAAAGCAGCTTACTTTATGGCAGCCAAAAATCAAGAAGAAGAGGAAGAGCCTAGAGAGGAAGGGGTTGGGGACAAATATAATCAACAAGGTCACATCCCCATTGTCTGCTCACTTTAATTAGGCCCCCCCCCCCAAGTTTCTACCACCTCCCAGCAATGCCGGTAAATTATGATTTCATCAATAGGTTAATCCTCTGATGGAGTCAGAGCCCGCATGCACCCAGTCTGGACACGTGGTTTTTAGGGGGATATTTTAGCTCTAAATTATCATAGAACAATCCATTCCAAAATGATTTCCTTTCTAAATTTTAAGAAGGCCTTGTCTTTTTTTAGTTCATTTTCAGAAAATGCTTGTCAAATAATGTGCTAATTATTTGTGGCAAGTAGCATAGTACAGTCCTCCTCTGTAATGAGTTTTGAGCAGTATCCCTAACATTCTATTATATGGCACTCTGTGATATTAGAAATGCAAAGCTTTCTGGAGTGAGATTTAGATTTAAACACCTGAGATAAACTACGACATTGCCAGTGAGGCGGAATCAGCAGGAGCTGAGGGCACAGGTTTTCCGTGACAGACTTGGACTGGAATCCAGCACTCTCTGCTTCTGTGGTGACTTAAGCAAGTTATAATTTAAAGGAATTCATTGTATGATCTGTAAAATCGATCCTTGTGCTTAGATGGTATGCCTTAATGTTTTAAATTTTTAACAGATTCTAATGATGTTGTACTTTGAAGTCACGGGTTTATATCTCTATCACCTCACCACCAATGTTGAGTCTATGCAGTCTCTTCTCATTCTTCCAATGTATTTTTATTATGAATTTGGGGTGAGATTGATATTCACTATTTACATTAGCTTATATAATATTGTTTGCATCATAATCATAAAGTATACTATAATTTCTAGTCCTTTCTTTTATGACTTGTTTTTTCCTGGAGTTAGCAGTTGCTGTGTTTTTCCATATATTCGATTATCAATTTGCCTCATTGACTCTTCCCCACATCCTCTGAGAGAAATGTGAACTTCCTTCTTGTGTAGCTACTCTGATCTATGAATTCTCCCTTCACTGGGGACATTGCTTTTTGCACCTTTCATCCTGCCTCTCCACTTTGCATTGCTTGCTTTTCAGACTTGGGCAAAGCTGCCAGTGTGGAACTGCCTCCATCCAGATTCCCTTAGCTTCTCCCCTGTGTGCAGCTCGTGGTGGGGTCTTGTGGCTTCTTGGCTCATTTCCCACTCTTGTGGGATTTACCCTACAATAACAATTGGAGAAATAATGCTTGGGACAGCACTACTCCAGTAACTACTGAAGGCACACATCTTTATCTTGTTTTTTGTTTGTTGTTGGGGGGTTATGTAAGTTAAAATATTTTTCATCAGAATTTTGATGACATTTCCCACTGTTTTTGCTTCTCCTCCTCCTCCTCCAAGATCTCATCATAGAGTTCAGGCTTTCCTTGAACTTGCTGTAAGTCCCGACTGGCTTTGGCATCCTGATTTTATTGCTTTAGCATCCCAGGTGCTGGGGTTGTATGTGTGTGCCACCATGCCGTATGTGCTCTTTCTTATTTTTGAATGTTTCTTTCTTCAACAAATTCTTGTTCTACTTTTATGGAAATTATTCCTGCTCTTATTTTCTGGTATGATTAATTATTGCTTACTAAATTTTAAAAATCTTTTCCCTATTATTACTGTTTCATCTGAAATACTCAATTTTGGTTCTGTTTTTAATTTTATAGACATCTTAGCTATTATTTGTTGTCTTTAAGCTGAACATTTGCTATTCCACACTTGACCTACAAAGTCAACAAATTACATTTTCCATGCTCCTTTTCCAGCTGACTCCCTCTTGGGCTCTAGCAATAAGAGGCATTTCTGAGAGTTCAGAAGTGGGCAGAAAAGAGAAGCTGTCTGCTTCTGACCTCCATAACAGTGGACAGTTGCTGGAAGTTCCCAGTGATCCCTGTGGGAACTGTGCAGTTGCGGCAACTACTGACTCTGGGGAGCTGTTGAATACAGCAGTACCTCTCTGGCATTTCCACTTCTGTGTCTGGGGAACGATTCACTGCCTGGGCTGCCTCCTTGCACAGATTGAGGGGAAAGAACACAGTCATTGATTTGCTGCATTCAAACACATCTCCTTTTCATGGGAAACAATGCTAGAGACAATAAATGGAAATCAGTCAATCTTACCAATTCTGGGTGTCTTCATTACTTCTCTTTTGTTGCTGAGACAAAATACAGGATACCCAAAATTAAGGAAGCGAAGGTTCATTTGGCTTATAGTTTGTGGAGGTTTCAGTCTATACTTCTCTGGCTCTAGGGCAGGGTGGCACATAGCAGAGGGCAATAGTTCATGGTGGAGGAAGACAGCAAAAACAACAAGAGCAAAAAGGAAGGAGCATGGAGAGAAGACTCTGTCCCTTATCGTGTGTGCAGGCTTCCCACCTTAGTGTGGGTGTACACTCACACTCTTAATCCCAGCATTGGAAAATCACAAATTCTAGATCCCCACCCCAGACAATTTGAGACTTTGGGGGGACTCCAGACACAAATGGTAACACTGGGCTTTGTGGACAGGATTTATATATACCTTGCTCTACTCTGCTTGAACAAGTTGGACAAATTACATTAAGCTGCATGCCCACCACATGTACACATATTCTAGCTGAATTCTGGGAGGGAGAAGTTGCAAGAACTTGCTGGATTTGAAATAGATTGGTAGCATCTACAGGACACTAGCTTATTTATAACACAGCATTTTCTTGGCAAAGACCTATGCTCTATCAGAAAAATATATCTGAATGAAAAATATGAAGTTAAATTTCATTTCTTTGTATATGAAAACACAGTCAGCCTTACTCTTCTAGCCATGCTGGATTGTACCTCTCGGTGGGTGTGGAGTCTTGCTTCCCTTATATGTGCCATTAGGTTCAATTCTGCTTTTGTTTGTACGCAGTTGCCTAGGTAACATACGTGTTTGTAGATGTTACTTACATAATATTGCTGGGGCATGCTACGGCTATATACCTCACCAGAATTTTTCTGTACTGATTGCTTATACAAGTCAATAAAGAAAAAGCTAAAGTCAGAAGAGTTAGAGGTAGACCTCACTCATCAGCACAAAAGTTTCTTCCTTACTTGGTTAAGCAGAGAGAGTTAGAAAACCCTTAATGAAACTATATTCTATAGGCATTGAGGCATTTAGAAAGAATTCCCAGCCTCAGCAATGAGGACAAAGTAAGTTGGATAAGAGCTACATTTATTCTTGACTGTAAGTGTTCAAAAGGCATATTATCTAATAAATTGTCAGTTTCTCTTGAGTCAGAATGGGGCAATGAACATAAACTTCTGAGTGTTTGTTTCTGCATTTTGTTTGGAATCCATAGCTAGCAAATGTAGTATGATCTCAATTTGACATAGAGAAAAACAATAGTAACTTGGAAATCAGAGAAATCATGGTTGGGGTGCAGCCCAGTGGTACAGTGTGTGCTTAGCATGTATGAGGCCGTTGGTTCAATGCCTAGTACAAAAAAGGAGGAGAAGGAAGAGAGGAGGGAACGGAGAAATCAGATAAGAAGAGGAGAAGAACAAGGAACTAGTTCAGGATAAAAAAGGTTTAATCTTTGCCACATGAATGTTCGTTCATATTGTTCATAAAAATAAAATCTGAGCCAGACATGGTGGTGCACCCCTATAACTCCAGCAATCTGGAAACTGAGGCAGGAATATTGCTGTAAGTTCAAAGCCAGCCTGAGGTACAAAGTGAGTTCAAGGCCAGTCTAAATTGCATAGACCTTGTCTCAAAACAAAACAACAAACCAAAACCTCAAAAGAAATCTAAAAGAGCCCCACTAACTTTCTAATAATTGTAAAATATTTAAATAAATCATATCACATACATAATGGAATTTATTTACTTTTAAAATTTTATTTAAAGAAAGGCTAACCAAAACAGAAAATAAGTAGAAATAATAAATACGTTCAGAGAAAAAAATAAACAGTAAGAAATCACTAGTTGATGTTTACATATTGTCATTTTACAAATAGTTGTTCAAGATACAAAAATGGAACATGTAAAGTGGGAATTCAAACAGCGAGACCAAAAACAGTTCTGTTCAACTGTCCAACAAAAACTTAGTAACCTGGTTGTCAATCCTATACATTTAAACATACATGCAGTTATCCACATCTTCATTTATGTTTAGATTAAATAAACTAAAGCAGGTTAAAATCATTCTGAACAAAGAATACTAGTATTACTGGATTTCACATCGTGACACTCGGTGATCAGCCCTGGGAACTGTAGTATCTTTTTTTTAAAAATTTAATTTAAAGAAAGACCAAACAAAAGAGAAAATGGGTAGAAATAATACATAATTTCAAAGAAAAAAATAAACAGTAAGAAATCACTAGTTGATGATTACAGATTGTCCTCTTACAAATAGTTATTCAAGGTACTAAAGTGGAGCATCTAAAGTGGGGATTCAAACAGAGAGATTGCAACCAGTTCTGTTCAACTACCCAACAAAAACTTAGAAATCTGGTTATCAATCCTATACACTTAAGCATACATGCAGTTATCCATATCTTCAATCATGTTGACATTGAATAAACCCAAGCAGGCTAATATCACTCTGAACAAGGAATAATACTATTGCTGGGTTTCACGTTATGGCACTCCAGGATCAGCACTGGGTATTTGTGTTGTTTCACTTTCATTTCTCTCCAGTAATTCTGCTCAGTCAGCCATTGATTCTCTGAATTTCCAATTCACAGAGACCCAGGTCTTGGCTAGGTCACAGCCTGTACTG